CAGTGGATTATCTTTTTGATTAAGATGCTATCTTTTGCATTTCAGGCTGCACTACGGTAGAAGCACTAGAAGGAGCCACCTTACACCCAGCCCAGGTGTTGAGGATTGAGCACAAAAAAGGCACCTTGAATTACGAGTCTGATGCAGATTTGGTCTTTCTAGATGATGACCTCAATGTGCATGCTACATGTATTGCTGGAGAACCTGTGTGGTTGAAGAAAGGAGGTCTAGTGACTGGTGTGATGCAGCTGAACTATAGCATGATACCAAACAAATCAACAAAACATATGAGATAAATATCACATTATATTCAAATGGGAGGACCGTGGTGGTAATTATAGACCTCAATTATATTCTCAGTATAGGATGGAACTAGCTTGCAACTGAGGCTAATGCAGGGAATCTTTTCAAATGCAAATGACATATTGATCCTTTTTTTCATCATATTCCCTCGCATGAGCCTTCATTAAAAGCTAGTTCCAGTCCAATACTGAAAATATGATTATGGCCAATTGAAATATAGTTTAATATAAACCTCTATGAAAGATACCTGCTTCCACTCCCAAAAATAACAGACCAACTTTGGTGATCCACTAATTGCATGGACACCTTACAGCCCACTTAATACACTTTTTGCTGTTCATTTACAGAAAATATCCATTCATTTGTGTCCAAATTTGTTTCATTATGGTCAAGATACTNTAACATCTGCAATTGATGCAACCAAGAAATGCCTATAATATAGAACTTTGCAGTGGATTATCTTTTTGATTAAGATGCTATCTTTTGCATTTCAGGCTGCACTACGGTAGAAGCACTAGAAGGAGCCACCTTACACCCAGCCCAGGTGTTGAGGATTGAGCACAAAAAAGGCACCTTGAATTACGAGTCTGATGCAGATTTGGTCTTTCTAGATGATGACCTCAATGTGCATGCTACATGTATTGCTGGAGAACCTGTGTGGTTGAAGAAAGGAGGTCTAGTGACTGGTGTGATGCAGCTGAACTATAGCATGATACCAAACAAATCAACAAAACATATGAGATAAATATCACATTATATTCAAATGTGAGGACCGTGGTGGTAATTATAGACCACAATTATATTCTCAGTATAGGATGGAACTAGCTTGCAACTGGGGCTAATGCAAGGAATCTTTTCAAATGCAAATGACATATTGATCCTTTTTTCATCATATTCCCTCGCATGAGCCTTCATTACAAGCTAGTTCCAGTCCAATACTGAAAATATGATTATGGCCAATTGAAATATAATTTAATATAAACCTCTATGAAAGATACCTGCTTCCACTCCCAAACATAACAGACCAACTTTGGTGATCCGCTAATTGCATGGACACCTTACAGCCCACTTAATACACGTTTTGCTGTTCATTTACAGAAAATATCCATTCATTTGTGTCCAAATTTGTTTCATTATGGTCAAGATACTCTCATTAACACCAATAATGACCTTCATGTACACTTTTGGACAATCCTTTTTCAACAAAAGACTTTCAATAACTCAATTTGCATGAGCACTCACAATCAATTGCATTATTATACAACCAT